CACCCTATGTAGTATTATATAGACTTGAGACATGGCTTTAGCGTTCAAATCCACCCACGATATTTACAAGCTTCAATATCTTAACTCTTTAATTAAACACGTACGAAATGTGATTTATATATTTCGTAAACTTGTCACACTATATCATTAACTGTTACACTTACACAATAATTTCCTTATAATATTCAGCGTGCTTTAAAATATTTTATACAGTGGAGCATAATAGATTTTTCAGATTTTCACTTACACAATGCTAGTTCTATCCAATGATTATAAATATATGGGTTTTATCACAAATAGTCCATGAAATTGACCTTTACCATCAAGATGGTCCATGAAATTGAAAATTAATCAATAAAGTCTCTGAAAATAGGTGTCGCAAATTAATGTTGTCATTTCATCACAATTATGTTAAAAATTCTGTTAAGTACTGATGTGGCACATAAATAGGTTCCATAAGTCTTTTTTTCTCACAAATGGTCCTTGAAATTGACCTGCAGCATCAAAATGGTTCCTGAAATTGATCAACGACATTAAAATGGTCCCTTAAATAGAAAATTAATTGATGTAGTTAATTATAAACAACTAGTTAATTATAAAATGAGATATTTTGGATGCGGTCCCTAATCCTTAACATTCTTTGACTAAAACCTTAATGATATTCAAAGTTTGATCAAAGTCCCTTGACTTTGTACACATCATTATATTACAATTAATATTTATAGTTTTATAGTTTTGACATTAATTGTTTGATATTTTATGAGATTTATAATCCTATAAATTTAAAATCCCTCATTATAATACTATTAGAAATGGTTACAATAAAAAAATTCAAACATTTTGATTGAATAAATGGATAAAAACTATGTAAAAATAAGAAATAATAAATAGCAAAAGAATGTATCCATAGTGTTAAAAAAACTGGTACATTTCACATGTAACAAAGTGGTACATTAATAAAGAAGAATGGGTACATTATAAATAAATTAGGGTACATATAAAAGATTAAAAAATTATGAGTAAAAATTAATTTTTAAAAACATATAGGCGCTAAAAGAAATTAATACATGGGTACAAAATAAAACTAAAAAGAAAATACTACAAATTTAAAAAAATGTTGCAAATTAAAAGTGGGTACAAACTAAAAATATAAATATATGATACAAGGTTTAGGCATAAAACATAAATATACCATATGTAATTTTCTTATCATTGATTAAATATACAATGTCATGACGGTATATACATGGGTGCAAATACAAATAAAACTTTAAAAAATATGGGCACAAAAAGAAACTAATATATGGGTACAAATTAAAAATGAAAAAAAAAATGGTACAAATTAAAAATAGGTACAAACTAAAAAAATATATATATATGATAAAAATTTAGCCATAAATATAAATATACTAATTGTAACATTTTTAACACTAAAGAAATATATTTAAAAATAAAAATATTTTATTATTCAAATAATTAATGATGTTATTAATATCCAAGGACCTTGATCAAAAATTGAAAATGAATAGTATCTTAATCAATGGAGTAGCAAAAAGAAGGATGTGAACCTAATTTCTCCTTATAAATTACTCCCTTGAGATTTGAGGTTACTTTAAAAAGAGGCCCAAGTATTTAAATATGTTCAATTTTATTACTTGAGATATTAATCTGTTAATTAACCATTGAGGTCACACTATTATTTGGGTCTTCCGCTAACTGATTTGTGGCAAAATGCGAGCCTACGTATAAAACTGAATGGGCCCATTTTTTAATTTTCGCCACACATGCGGCTATCGAAATGACTAAACAATTTGACGTCTTGCATGGTTGCATCCTGATCCCTCACTTGGTCATCCCTCAACATTAAGTATTATTCTTTAAAACATTATTTCTCTATTTTGTTTTGTCTTCCTTAATTGGCAGATTCTCATCATAGGTGGCACAGAAAGCACATCTGTTGCACTAACATGGGCACTCTCCTTACTACTCAACAACCCAAGTGCCCTAAAATCTGCCCAACAAGAATTGGACATCAACGTAGGAAGTGACAGATGGGTTCAAGAATCCGACCTCCCAAAGCTCAAATACCTCCAAGCAATTGTCAAAGAAACCCTACGGTTATACCCGTCTGTCCCAATCACCGTCCACGAGGGCATGGAGGATTCTCATCTCTCGGGTTACTTTGTCCCCAAAGGCACCCGTATAGTGGTCAACTTATGGAAATTGCACCGGGACCCGCGCGTGTGGGCCAACCCTTGTGAGTTTCACCCTGAGAGGTTCTTGACCGACCATGCTGACGTGGACTATTTCAAGGGTTTTGAGTACATTCCCTTTAGCTCGGGCAGAAGGTCGTGCCCTGGTGCCACACTAGGGTTGCATGTGGTTCAGTTGGTTCTGGCTCGTTTGGTTCAGGGGTTTCATATGAGCAGCGTGGGTGATGAGCCGGTGGATATGCGTGAAAGGGTGGGTCTTGCCCTTATGAAAGAAAATCCACTTGAGGCTTTTCTTGCTCCACGCCTTCCTCTTTACCTCTACGGTTCTACCTATGAATGACAGTGTCTTTAAACGTACAACCTCATGGTTTACATGGCAATTAACTTCGAAGTTATTCTGCATGTTGAAACTTGAACCCTGATGCTGGCATGCATTAGTTCATATATATTATTAATATTTATATGATCCAAATATATAGCACTATATCAACACTCTTGTTGTGTAAAGTGAAAAATAAGGTTTGATGAATATGTATGACTCGTATAGGGAGGCTTCAATCAGTTATGTATTTATTCCAAATAAAAAAAAAGTTTGATTGATTTTTTAGATTAATATTTCTTTCTTTCCTTCATTTCTCTTGAATTAAACTGATAATTATGCTAGAATTGCTAACCACATTTATGCAATATGCATGCACAATAGGTAGATTTCGAGAACTTACATTTTTTTTCTTGATAAAAAATACATAAAAATAGTTGCACTCTGGAGGTTGTCAATATGATGTTTATTACATTTGATAGGTGAACATTTCACTTTCACCTTTGCACATTATAGACATTAATTGTTGCCCGCCACCCTACATGCATTTGAGAGTGCATTGTAAAATCTGCCACTACTACGTTAAATACTTTGCGCGACAAGGCAGTATTTGTTGCGCAAAGCATTTCCAGGTCGCACAAAACCTATGGCGACACAGAAATCGTCGCGCAAAGGTCGTGAAGAAAGACCTTGCGCGACGAAGAGTGCAGTTTTGTCGCGCAGCAAAATGATTGCACGACGAAACATGGAAGACGCGTGTGGTTTTGCATGATGACATATCTTCGTCGCGCAAGTGTAATTTTTAATTAAAAAAAAAAATTAATAAATAGTATAAATAGAATGTTATTAAAAAATATATTTCATACAATTGACAAAAAAAAAATTAATGAATAGAAAAACAATTTATTCATAATATAAATAAAAAAGTACGTACAAATTAAAAGTTTAAAAAGAAAGCGGGAAAAAAAACTACGAAAAAAATGAGGCATAATCTATGGGCAAGTCATTCGGAGTTGCTTGGTAATCTTGTTGCTGGAAGGGGCTGGGGTTGGGGACGGGGTCGGAGGTCGACGGGTTTGATTGTTGTGTATGCTCGGGGTGGAGGGGCTCTGATGATGGTGGTGCAAAAAAATCGGGGAGACGGATCCCTGAGGAATTGTACAATCAAGGACATCTAAGTCTTGTACGATGCAAGCTCACTCCTCAACCCAGCGACTTCCTGCGTCAAAGCCATAACCTCGCCCTTCGACTGCGAGGATGAAGAGGCTCCACTCTCCCGTAGCCTGGTATTTCCCATCCCCCTATAATATGTCCCTGGCCTCTGACCGAAAATATGGTCCAACGCCTCTATAAGGATGTGAAACCCCGCATCTTCTGGGGGATCCATAGACTCGATCAGCGTGTCCGGGGGAAGCTAGGAGGCGGACTCCTGAATGACTGACTGAGCCTTCTCCACCATAATCGCCTATGAAATAAAACATGGAATATTAATAGCAAAAAATTTGAAATAATTAGTATAAATCTTTAATGCATAAGAAATTAATTACATGAAGGGATTCGGTCAACTCATCCCCGGACCAAACATAAATGTTAGAAAGGCGTCGATCTCCGGGAATTTTGAACCCCTTGGAATAGAAAAAGATAAGGAAAATATTAGTACGGAAACAAAAAAAATGAAAATTATTAGTGACATTTTAAAATTGGAAATGAAAGCTTTAATATATACCTTCCACCGTGTGTCCATCCTATATGAGAAATGCCTCGAACCTGAATGGTGGAGAAAAGTCTTCTTATCCTGATTGATCTTGTTTGCCTTCGCCTTCTTCTGTTATACACAAAATAAACATATTAGTTGTAATATTTAAAGAAAAAAAAGTAATAAACATTAGTAAAAATTTTAAAAAGTAAAATGAAAAAAGTCTTATTTAAAAATGCACCACATAGCCCGGCTCCTGAAAATGACCGGAGAGCCAAACCCAACTATCTTCTCGATCCTCAAACTCCTTCGGGTAACCCTCCTCAATAGCGACCTGCATATCATCAAACATCTCGAAATACTAGTGCAGGTCACTCTTCCACTACTTGTAACATTTAGAGAAGAGCCGATTGAGGTACGCCAACGTGTCGTCATTGATGTTATTGAAATTGTAGTTTGTTTGCAATGTAACAAATATTACGAAAGTATTAGTAATAAAAAACATTAATAAATATAAATATATAAATTTTACATGAAAGACATTAAGGTAGATCCAACTTCCATGACTCAACTAAGACCAATTAGTTTGTGTAATGTGATTTACAAAATCTGTTCCAAAGTGCTTACAAATAGACTGAAAGTGGTATTGCCGGATATCATTTCTCCCTCCCAAAGTGCTTTTATTGTTGGAAGATTAATTTCTGATAATTGTTTGGTAGCTTCGGAAATTGCACATTTTATGAAGCGGAAGAATAATGGTTGGAATGATGTGATGGCTCTGAAACTGGACATTAGTAAAGCTTGTGACCGCATCGAATGGTCTTTTCTTGAACATATTATGCAAAGGTTGGGTTTTGCCGATGAGTGGATTACTTGGATCATGCAGTGTATCATGACAGTCTCCTATTCCTTCAAGCTCAATGGGGAGCCTATAAGTTTTGTCCAACCTAAACGGGGTATACGGCAAGGGGATCTGTTATCCCCGTTCTTGTTTGTGATTTGTGCAGAAGGTTTATCGGCATTGTTGGATGAGGGGGAGTCCCAAGGTCGGATTAAAGGTATAAAGGTATGTAATGATGCGCAAAGTATTAATTGTTGAAAAAACATTTAGAGTACACAACTCTAACACAAGTGTTGGAGAGACAACACAAGTAAACAAATTACTTGTATTACACTCACAAAATATTACAACACACAAACTCTCAAAGACACTCTAGAAGCAATGACACTCACACACTTTCTAGAGACAAACTCTATATCACTCACACTCCCCACAAGACTACTCTTACTTCTCACTCTCACTTGGTTGCCTTCTTGATTACTTGGTTACAAGGTTCTTAGCAACACACACACACACACACACACACACCTATTTGCCAACTACAATTGCCCACCGCCTTTACGCTTTGCATGGCAGCCACACAATTGTTATAATAGCTAGACAGTTCTAGCTTGTTCCCACCGACACACTTATGCTAGAAGATTCTAGCATATGCATGTTTTCTCCTTTGTTTCTTCATCATGGGCCAGTCCTTCTTATTTGGGCTGGTGTTGTACTTTTAACATTAATCATCTTCTCTTTGTGGATGATAGTTTTATTTTTGCAAGAAGTACATTACAGGATTGTTGTGAACTAAAGAATGTCCTACATACTTATGAATTGGCCTCGGGGCATGCTGTTAATTTGTCCAAAAGTTGTGTGTCGTTTAGTGCAAATGTGAATGAAGTGGATGCCCAGGTGCTTGCTGATTGCTTGGGTATGAATAGAGTTAATTATCATGATCGTTATCTTGGATTATCGATGTACACCGGTAAGTCTAAGAAACAGACATTTGCTTATATCAAAGATCGCCTTTGGAAAAAATTGAATGGATGGCGTGGGAGTTTGTTAAGCAATGCTGGTAAGGAGATCTTAATTAAAATTGTCGCCCAGGCGGTACCATTGTATACCATGCAGACTTTCTTGCTTCCGAAGACGTTATGTGATGAGTTGAATAAGATGGTTGCCCAATTTTGGTGGGGGAAAGAGGTTGGAAAGCGACGTATTCACTGGGTGAGTTGGAAGAAGATGTGCAAGCCTAAAAGTGAGGGAGGGTTGGGATTTAAAGATTTGTATGCTTTTAATCTTGCTTTGCTAGCTAAGCAAGGTTGGAGGATCATTCAACAACTAAATTCTCTTGTGGCCCACCTGTTTAAAGCTCGGTATTTCCCTGATATGGAATTTTTAATAGCTCCTGTAAAATCAAATTCTTCATTCTGTTGGAGAAGCATTACAACAGCTAGAGTGTTGATTCAACGTGGGGCTAGATGGAGGGTAGGTGATGGATTGCAGATTGAGATTTGGGGGGATAGCTGGTTGCCGAGGGATAATTATGCTAAAGTGTTGAGTCCGGTACCTGTAGGAGTCCATCATAACCTCACGGTTACATCTTTAATGGTGGAGACGAATAGGTTACGATGGAATATGCAGGTGGTATCACAAATGTTCTTTCCTGAAGAAGCCAATCTAATTTTCAGTATTCCTTTGAGTTTATTTAATCCACCTGATAAGTTAATTTGGATTAAAGAACCTCAAGGGAACTTTACAACAAAGAGTGCATACTTCGTTGCTCGGACTTGTAGTGAAATTTGTGGAGATATTCCAGGCCATTCCGAGATTTCGACAGAGATTAAATTATTATGGAAGGCATTATGGCGTGCTAAAGTACCAGGGAAAGTCAAAATCTGTATTTGAAGGAGTTGCTTGGATGCTTTGCCGACTTGAGTTAATTTGCGGATTAAAAAGGTACTTATGGATGATTGTTGTGTTTTCTATGGTAATGAACCGGAAATGATTGAACATATAATGTTGAGGTGTTCCCATGCTAAAGCGATATGGTCCTCTAGCCCCTTGGGATCACAATCTATGCAACACGGAGATATGGGGTTAAAAGGTTGGTTGGCTCGTGTGGCTTCCAATATATCAAGGGAGAGCTTTGACTTAGTGCTTGTTATGCTATGGAATATTTGGAAGCTCGTAATGAGCTGTTTTGGAAGGGTTCGGTGTTGCCACCATAGGATATTCCAATAAAATCACATACTTGGCTCATTTAAAAAGTGGAACGTGTTACAGCCTAAGCCTAAGTCTCTAGATGTACAGAAATGGAGGAAGCCGGACGAAGGTTGGCTAAAATGTAATTTTGATGGCGCGTGGGATGAACATGGAGCCGTATAAGGAGTGGGAATTGTTCTCCGCGATGGTGCTAGGGAGTTTGTTGCTGCAGCGGCACTTAAAGTGGAGGGAATTTCATTACCTTTGTTGGCTGAAACTATTGCAGCCCGTGAAGCTGCCTTGTTTGTACAACAATGGAAGCTGCAAAAGGTCATTTTGGAAGGTGATGCCCTGTTGGTAATTGCTGCCATTCAGAATGATTTGGATGTGAATCATGGACCTCTTGGGCATGTCTTGTCTGATATACATTTGCTTTTACAACCGTTCCAACAGTGGAAGGCACACTTTGTGCGACGAGATGCTAATACTGTGGCTCATTGGCTAGCTCGCAGAGGTTTAACTTTGGAGCAATCAGTTTCATGGTTTGAAGAACCCCCTGATGTAATTGTTGATTTACTTTTGGAATATAATTTGAACTCTTAATTTAGTTGGTGTTGGATGCTCTTTTTCCCTTCATTCAAGTTTTATGTCCCGGGAAGGTTTTTATTAAGGCTCATTGTTAGCACTCTTTGCATTTGCTTGTACGTTGTTCCACCATGAAATGAATATCGTACTTGATTTCAAAAATCCATTGACTAGATTCCACATCAGCAAATTCATTAATTATGTTTGACTTCACATATTAAAAAAATTTCGGATGCCTAAAATACCCCTATTTGAATTTTATTTTATTTATAAACCCTATTTGAATGTTTGATGTACATAATTAATGTCATGCGGATGGATGGTAAGGGAGAATTAATGATTTTACAAAAAAAAAAAACATTAATGTTATAAATTCATTGTGTAATATATAATAACATAAAACGTGTCTAATATATGTTATTATACATGCTTAATTAAGTCAATAAAATTATATTTTACATATTAATGTAGCTAAATTATTTCACACACACACACACATATATATATAATGCCTGATATATGTAAAATTCATGCAAAATAATTTACCTACAAAAAAAAAACATTTGATTCAAATAGTGCACCTACGATTAAAAATTTAAAATGTTAGATTGCTTAAAAAAAGAAAAATAATATACCCATTATATGTAAAATACCTGAAAAATAATTTACCTACATAATAACAAACCCATATATGAAAAATACATGCAAACTAATATATCTTATAAATTCATTGTTTAAGTTTTAAAAGAAACAACGTTTCTACTAGTTTTTTTTTTCCAAAAATAAAGTACCTATTATTTAATTTTTACGAAAATTGTGTACCTATTGTGTAATTTAAAAAAAAATTACATATTTTTTATTTTTTTTATGAAAATAATGTAACTATTGTTTAGTTTTTACAAGAAACAATGTATCTACTAGTTTATTTTTACCTTCTTTTTTTTTAATTTTCACAAGTTAATGTATCTACTTTTTCAATAGAATGTATATTGAACTAATTAGATTTGGATGAGGCAATTTCACATGAAAGAAGAAAAGAACTTAATCTTCTTTTCTTTTTTTTTAATTAAAAGCAAAAAAAACTTAAACTAATTGAATGTTGTTGACAAACAAAAGACAATAAATTAAAAGTCTACAAAAAAAACCGTAATAGCCATATTAATGTTGGTGGCATGGTGTTGTAAATAAATTTAAATGTATGAACATCTTTTATCTTACATGGCATCAAATTCAAAATTTGGGTTTTATTTAGATGTTTTAATATAGATGAGTTTATGTCTAGAGTTCAACAGTTATAAGAGGCTAAATCTAAAGCACCCCTTATTTTTATTTATGATTCAAACAATACACATAGTAATATAAAAAAAAAGAAGTTACAATTAGTTTTTAGTTAAAATTCGTGTCAAGCATAATTTACTGGAGGTGCAAAATTAATTTATTATCATTTTACAGTTTAATAGTAATTAAGATGGATGGCACAGTTAATGGCAGCATCCCATCTTAGGGGAACACTTCATTATTTGCTTTGCTTTGCTGTGCCAACAACTGCATTGAAACACGTACGACAAATGATTGCCCTCCAGGCCAACACCAATCTAATGTGGAGAATGGCAATTATGCATACGCTTGGACGAAAATAAAAAGGTAATGCTAGAGAGATTAAATTTAGAGATTAAATTTGCAAACTAAATTATGTATCACCAATAGAAATGAGCACGTTTATCAACGTTTAAGTAATAAATCAATCATGAACTTCCATGTCCTTTAGTTTTTAAAACTTTGTCTACAAATTTAGTCTCCCTATTATTATTCAAAATAAAATATATGGGAAGGTAGATTCAATTGTTCAGTTCATCTTGAGCTGCGTTAACTTGTAGATTGTACAGCATGCAGATCATGCAGTGGATTAGGAGGCAGTTGTTTGGTTTTGGTTTCAGAAAACCTTACAACGTGCAAACGTCTTCGGAAATTAAGTAATTTTAGAACATATATACGATGCCTAAAAATCAAGGGTAGTATTTAACAAGTAAGGAAAGTAAAGATTTATGACCATATATCAATCAGCAGATTCGCACATGCAAATTACATGAACAATTAATAAAACTTTGTCCAAAAAAAAAAAAAAACAATTTTAGTGAATCAATTTGTTGTTAGGCACATGCTGTTAACACATTAGATGATCTACATATATGATAGGTAGTATCCCTTAGGCCTGGCAATTCCTGACACGACCCGATAATCCGACACGACAAGTCACAAAATTAACAGGTGTTCGGGTCGACACGATAACGAATTGGGTCGTTATCGGGTAACCCGATAAGTACCTGTTAAGATAACTGGTTGGTTCGGGTATACACGTGGGTAACACGATACACGATAAGCAGAATATTATAATTTTATAACCCTAAAAAATACCATAATTATATATATATATATATATATATATATATATTAAATTAACTATAATAATTATATATACTATAATAATTATACCCCCAAAATATTAACTATAATAATTATATATATATATATATATATATATATAATTTTAAATTAAATTTTATACCCCTAAAAACTATAATAATTATACGTATATAATAAATAGATTTAAATCTACTTAATAAATATATATATACCATTGAACTTGATGGGATACAAATTATACGAAACTAATTTCAACGATCCAACCGTCAAACGTACATAATAAATAGATTTAAATCTACTTAATAAATATATATATACCATTGAACTTGATGGGATACAAATTATACGAAACTAATTTCAACGATCCAACCGTCAAACTTGTTTGTATATGCTTCGAGATTGCATCGTTAAAAAATAAAAAAAAAACAAACATTCATAGATCAAGTAACCGAACAAAACTTTTCAACGGTTATAAAACGAAAAATCACGATTTAACTGTTATTTTAACTCTGATTTTTATGATTTTTTACAGCTACACTCCTTGACCCTATATGAATATAATGAATGAATTCGATCTTCAATTTAAAATATTTACACTAGTAGTATGAATAAACTCTTAAGTGTTAGTGAATCTATTGTTTTGATGGGATACGCATTCTACGAAATTAGTTTCAACGATCCAACCGTCAAACATGTTTGTATATACTTCGAGATTGCATACACCAAAAATTACAAAAAACAAACATTCAGAGATTAAGTAACCGAACAAAACTTTTTGACGGTTATAAAACGAAAAATCACGATTTAACGGTTATTTTAACTCCGATTTTGATGATTTTTTACATCTACACTCCTTAACCTTATATGAATACAATGAATGAATTCGATCTTCAATTTAAAATATTTACACTAGTGGATACCACAAAATCTTATGTTATACTTAATGAAAGTATGAATAAACTCTTAAATGTTAGTGAATCTATTATTTTGATGGGATACGCATTCTACAAAACTAGTTTCAACGATCCAACCGTCCAACATGTTTGTATATACTTCGAAATCGCATACGCCAAAAATTGCAAAAAAACAAACATTCAGAGATCAAGTAACGGGACAAAACCTTTCGACAGTTATAAAAAGAAAAATCACGATTTAACGGTTATTTTAACTCTGATTTGATGATTCTTTACAGCTACACTCCTTGATCCTATATGAATACAATGCATGAATTCGATCTTCAATTTAAAATATTTACACTAGTGGATACCACAAAATCTTATGTTATACTTAATGAAAGTATGAATAAACTCTTTAAGTGTTAGTGAATCTATTGTTTTGATGGGATACGCAGTCTATGAAACTAGTTTCAACGATCCAACCGCCAAACATGTTTGTATATACTTCAAGATCGCATACACCAAAAATTGCAAAAAACAAACATTTAGAGATTAAGTAATGAGACAAAATTTTGGACGGTTATAAAAAGAAAAATCACAATTTAACGGTTATTTTAACTCCGATTTTGATTATTCTTTACAGCTACACTCCTTGACCCTATATGAATACAATGAATGAATTCGATCTTCAATTTAAAATATTTACACTAGTATACTTAATAAAAGTATAAATAAACTCTGAAGTGTTAGTGAATTTATTGTTTTGATGGGATATGCATTCTACAAAAATAGTTTCAATGATCCAACCGTCAAACATGTTTGTATATACTTCAAGATCGCATACGCCAAAAATTGCAAAAAAAAACATTAAGAGATCAAGTAACGGGACACAATTTTTCGACGGTTATAAAAAGAAAAATCACGATTTAACGGTTATTTTAACTCCGATTTTAATGATTTTTTTACAACTACACTCCTTGACCCTATATGAATACGATGAATGAATTTGATCTTCAATTTAAAATATTTACACTAGTGGATACCACAAAATCTTATGTTATACTTAATGAAAGTATGAATAAACTCTTTAAGTGTTAGTGAATCTATTGTTTTGATGGGATACGCAGTCTATGAAACTAGTTTCAACGATCCAACCGCCAAACATGTTTCTATATACTTCAAGATCGCATACACCAAAAATTGCAAAAAACAAACATTTAGAGATTAAGTAATGAGACAAAATTTTGGACGGTTATAAAAAGAAAAATCACAATTTAACGGTTATTTTAACTCCGATTTTGATTATTCTTTACAGCTACACTCCTTGACCCTATATGAATACAATGAATTCAATTTAAAATATTTACACTAGTGGATACCACAAAATCTTATGTTATACTTAATGAAAGTATGAATAAACTCTTAAGTGTTAGTGAATTTATTGTTTTGATGGAATACGCATTCTACGAAACTAGTTTCAACGATCTAACCGTCAAACATGTTTGTATATACTTCGAGATCGTATATGCCAAAAATTGCAAAAAACAAACATTCAGAGATCAAGTAACGGGAAAAAACTTTTCGACGGTTATAAAAAGAAAAATCATGATTTAACGGTTATTTTAACTCCGATTTTGATGATTTTTTATAGCTACACTCCTTGATCCTATATGAATACAATGAATGAATTCGATCTTCAATTTAAAAAATTACACTAGTGGATACCAAAAAATCTTATGTTATACTTAATGAGTATGAATAAACTATAATAATTATATACATTAATTTAACAATTTTATACCCCTAAAAACTAAAATAATTATATAATTATATAATTATATATATATATATATATATATATATTAAATTATGTGTTTTAATGTTTTGAAGTAATATTTATGTGGCAAAGTGTGGTATGTGCAAATTTAAGAAAAAAATATATTTTTCTTAACGGGTCATAACTGGTTATAACGGGTCGGGTCACCTTACCCGTTGGGTAAAGTGACCCGACCTGTTAAGAACTTGTTAAGATAATAGGTGTGACACGACACGACCCGACCCGTTAAGATAACAGGTGTTACACGAAAATGACACGAACACGACAGACACGACCCGTTTGCCAGGCCTAGTATCCCTGCATTTTCCATTTTAAATTGAAAGCAAACATCCCAAGAAACCGTGCAATATCTGGCAGGATACATTAAAATTCTAATAGATTGAAACATATTAACACCAAGAGAGTACATTCATAAAGTTCATAAAGCATATTTGGTGCAAATTCGATATACTTGACCAAAAAATAAATTCATCACTATTCGTCTAGAGGAATATCCAGTGAGGACGTTTCCTGGCCAACGAGCACACAGCTCCCTGAGAGGTTGGCGCCGGTTGATATCGTCTGTCGGGCTTCTGCTTATTGGCGGGCTGTAAGAGAAGGACAGAGTTAATTCTGAAAGGTGCCTTTGTGGGCCTTAGGTGTAGGCCTTGAGGCTCACAATCAGAATTAACTTTAAGTACACAGGCGTGTCACTGCCATCTTTAGCATGACAGATGTAAAACCGACGTTAAGTTTATTGTATATATATATGCTCGAGAGACCCAGTTAGTTATGAAATGTGCCTTTGTGGGGCCTTAGGTGTAGACCTTGAGGCTTCCCGTCAAAACTAACCGAATACTTGAACACATCTTGGTTGTTTCATTGTTGTAGAAGTATCACACTCATTATACTTTAATTGCCCGAGCCCGCAAAGCAAAATGAATTAAAATAGGTGCCTTTGTCAGGCCTTAGGTATAGGCCTTGAGGCTTTCTATCAGAGTTAATTCTATACTCAAGCGTTCTATGGAAATTATGATATAACATAAGTAAAACTAGAGAATAAGCCAATTACTTGCCCCCCAAGTAACTTTGGACTTCTTGTTATCAAGGAATGTCGTGGATGGGTTAAGTCCACATAAGGTTCTTTTTATGCCTTGAGACCAAGGACTTTTAATTGATCAATCTTGTCTGCCCGAATGGTTAGAACTTAGAAGTCTTTTAATCATAAACTGGCTAGCAATAACTTAGATGCAGATGGAAACATACATCATATTACTAGATATATGAATGAAAGACAAAAAACAAAGGAGGTCGGGCAAGGTTTCACCTTGTCGGGCAAGGCTGATCATCTTGCAACTTCCTCTCTTTGTGATTTACAAAGAGTTCGAATGCTAAAAGGGGAGATTGGAAGATGAGTTTATTATGAGGGAATCGATACTACAACAAGATTTAAACAGGGTAGCAGAGCTTTTACAAAGGATTTCTGGTGAAGGTTGATCCCGAAAGGGATGAACACTGGGGGCTGACTACAGCTGGGTGAAGGCAAATCTGGTTTGAGCAGAGTTTGTGCTTGTATTTGTTTGTTTGATTGAGTGTCCCCGTCTCTGATTTTCCTTCCTCCTTTTATAGACGATTTGGCTTGGCTGCCTGCAGTATTGTTTTTGCCCGAATGCATCTGAAGGGTAGTGACTCATCAACTTTTTACTTGTACTGCCATCGTAAAGTACTTTTGGGCTGATTAGCTGACTAGTCTACACCACTTGACCTCTAGGTAGGTGAGCAGGTGGTTTGAATGATCTGCACTTGGTCGGGAAACAAGCCCCTTCTTTCTTCTGGGCTTCGGCTGGGCCTTGGACTTTTCCTTCTTCTGAACCTCCTTTTGGGCTTTCTTTTGGGCTAACCTCTTTTTAACCCATAGTTCAAGTTTTATCCCAAACAATCACTGCATTTAATTAGGCTAATTAGGAGAGTTTCTTTTGATTCTTGATCACCTTCCACGCTTTGATATCAGCTTCGTCTTTTCTTTCACGCTTTTATTAAACCCTGGATAGGGTTCATAGCCAAAGGCTGATTGAAGAAACTCAAGCAACACAAAGTACGGCTCCATCAGAAATCCTTTAAAAAAGCTCTCTGCAAGACCTGGTAATCTTTTCTCAAAAACGCCATGGCCTATGAGCAGTGCAGGCCAGCAGAAAGCCTGAACGGCAATAACAAGCTTCCATGACTTAGCAAACCCTAGCCCACTAGCAAGAACACTGGCTCCAACCCAGGTGAGAAACAATAGAAAAGCTGCCAAGGACCCAGCTTGCTTGTCGAATTTGAAACAAAAGATAGCATACATCAAAGTCAAAACCAACCCTACATTCAATTCGAAACCGTGATCGTTTAACCAAGACGGGCAATCATAGAGAGAAGGTGTGAAGTGGAGAAGAACAGCAACAGTGAAGTGGAGAAGAACAGCAACAGTGAAGACTAATGGCGACACTAAGAAAGTGTGCAGCAAAACGTTAACTGGGTTGCTGTGATAAGCTCCATAGAAGGCGAAGTGCCTTTCAAGATCAAACAATCCAGCCTCCCCATGGAAATTTTTCTAACAAAGTTAAATTGGATAAATTTCTTTTTGTTGGAAAAAAGGTGCCAGCTTTCCTAGCTAATATATGAAACTAGACTGAAAGAAATTGAATTAAACTGGATATAAATTGGAGCCAGAAATCACAGTTGTGGAAAGTCCAGGTAGGTGCTAGGGTCAAGATTATGACACTCGTAATTTGATGATTGTTATGATTTTTCAGATTTGTTAGTAGAATGATTGTTATGATTTTCAGATTTGTTAGTAGAACAGGATATACGCTTGTACGTAGTGGTGTATTAATATTTCCTACTGTAATACAATTACCTTTTTCCTCTCTGCCTGCTTTCTTACTCTCTTTGTATCTTCACCCACTTCGTTCAACTTCTTCCATATTAACATGGTATAAGGATGTTAGGCTTGTACTTTGAACTTTTTTCTATTAATTGTTTTACAATGCTTCATTTGTATAGTATTGTTGAAAATTTTGAGATTTCACCATAAAATTAATCGACAATTTTTTTTGGAATTCATACTCTCAACATGACTCCTCATATGAGATGAATTTTCAAGTCTAATTCGTGGACAACGGAAATTAGAAGATGTGGAGCACGTTGGGGTTCAAACATGGAACAACTTTCTCAATCTAATACCATAAAGAAAGTGAGGTCATCCTAAAATCAATTGACAATATAAAAAATTAGTTGAACTATTTATAAGCATACACAAGATCTCTTATTTCTTCGATGAAAAATTCATTCCAATCAATAATTGTTAAATCATATCTAACTGGTATCAAGTCATTGAGAATGATCTGGATAGATTAAACTGCAAGGTATTGAGTTACCTGACCAAATAAAATCTACGCGTTTGTTATAGAGGAGGACTATACTACTGTATGTGAACTGTTGTCAATAACTGTTAAATCATCTAAACTTGTGTCAAGTCATTGAGAAGGGTCTATATAGATTAAGGGTAATGTTAGGGAGATTAAATTTTTAAATAAATTTTTGTAAAGTAAATGACATAGAAGTTGATGATTAGATTATTACTTAAGTGTTGATTAACATACTTATTTCTTATTGGTAACATATCATTAAGTTTATAAATTTAATCTCACTAACATTACTCATAGATTAAGCTGCAAGGTATTGAATTGACCGGACCAAATAAAATCTGCACGTTATTGAGGAGGACTGCATGGTATTGAATTGCCCGGACTAAAAAATTCGGAACGTTATTGAGGAAGACTGTATACATTATATTGGAAATGTTTGATGTTGCCGTTTGCATTAGATGTAGAGTATGAGTCCCATAACACTAACTCCATAGGGAATGATACAAACCTAACTTGGGCCATTCCCAAATAATTCCACCCGATTATAAATACACGTGAAATGTTAACAATTTTTCCATTTACCTTAACATTTTAATCTTCTTATAATTTTTTTCACTTCTTTTCATGTCATGTGTATTCAATTAGCTAGATTCAAATCTAAAATTTTAACTATAAATTTGGTTATAATACTTATATGTATTTAATACTATCACCATCTAAACAAGAGATTTTTCAATATGCCCGGAATACGGGATGGTACACCATATGTCATTGTATAAGTGGTGAGACACTTAAATAATAAACTTTTCTCCACTTGTATAATGACACGTGGTGTACCACTCTGTATTCTTGGCACATTAAAAAATTTCTCCATCTCAGTGGTCAGACGGTAAGTATATTAAATACATATATTCACAAGAATATTTATGTAGATGATGATTGTACTAAATACATGTAAGGATTGTCGTCAATACTTAATGGGTAATGTTAGGGAGACAAAATTTGTAAACTAAATGATGTGTCGTCAATAGGAATGAACACGTTTATCAACACTTAAATAATAATCTAATCATCAACTGCCATGTCATTTAGTTTACAAAATTTTGTCTACAAATTTAGTCACCCTAGCGTTACTCATACTTAATTATGTTTGGTACAATTAAAGCTTTAGTTTGTAAACCAAAAGTAATTAAACTTTTAATTTTACATGCTAGTTGAATACACGTGACATGAGTATAAGTAAAGTATGTTGCTAGTACCCCGAACGTGCAAAATCAACTATATGATATTATATCCTAGGCACACATTTCTCCAATCCACCAAATGATTGACACCATATTAGCTTTGTTGGCAAGCACTAACCTCATACAAATAAAACTCGTTTGCACGTGCTTTTAAAATGACTGAAAGTATTTTTGGTGAAAATGTTTTAGAATCAATCATTAGTAAAAATATAAGTAAATCCTAAAAAATGACTTAAAGTGTTTCTTAAAAGAAACACATAATTGGTGCTTCTTGCATAAAGCATTTTAAGTACTTTTAGAATCCAAAAATATTTTTTCTAAAAGCATTTTCAGTCATTTTAAGACTACATTCAAACGAGTTCAGAATAAACATGTTATTCTATTTCATCAATAAATCAACTTAGTCAAGCATAATTTAATGGACGGAGTTATCATGTGACACAGTTGAATGATGTTGATGCCTAAATTTTGCATCAATGTAGAATTCAGTATTACCTAACACCCCCCCCCCCCCCCCCCCCCAAACACTTCATAATGTGGCAGGACCATTGCCAACAACTTCTTGATCAAGAAATTATTGCCCTTGTAACAGAAATTGTCAGAAGAAATTATGTCCTAGATGGCAACACCAATAATTGGAGGAACTCCATTATTTGCGGATTAGAAAAAAAAAAAGGTAAATTACGTTTTACTTCCTCAGATTTGAGATCAAATTTAATTCTTTACAATATTTTTTAAAATATTTTAATTTTATATATTTACTTATCATTTTATTTTAATTTTATACATCTGTTAAAAAAATATGTTAAATAAACCGTTAAGTAATGACGTGACAAATATAGGATACACATTTATGCTGACGTGACTATCAAATATGTGCCACATGACAAAAATAATAATTTTTTTTATGCAATTAAAATATAATAATATTTACCCTATTAAAAAACAAAAGCAAATAAACCCAGAACCCCAACCCACCTCCATCTCCTCCACTTACTTCACCTCCCATCCCATCCAAAAACCCACCTCATCCCACCTACTTCACCTCCCATCCCATCCAAAAACCCACCCTAACCCACCCCACCTCCCCCGCAACCCCCCATCCCACCCCCACCTCCCCCACACCACCCAAAACCCAAAAAACAACAATCTGAAAATTCAAAATTCAGAAAAGCTCACTAAATGGAAGAGAATCTAAATCTCCATAAGGAAAAGGCAAAGGCGATAAATTCATAAACTTTTTGTAAAAAATTTGAACTTTTGAATTCAATTTTATTTGGGTAAATTACACAAAACTACCTCAACTATTGGGTCAACCACAATTTCATACCACATCCTTAAAACATTTCAATGTCATACCTTATCTTCGAATTTGTTGCAATGTCATACATTCCGTCAATTTGTCTGTCAATTTCTCCGTTAAATGCTGAAGTGGCTTAAGGCGGGGCCCACTCCCTATTAAAAAAATTAATTAAATATTTAAAACTAAAAAATAAAAATCATTTAATATTTTTTTTAAATGGGGGACCCACTCTACAAACCCATCATTCTCTTCTGGAAGAAGCATGGCTCCAAGAAGCTGTCCACCAACATTCTCCTATGCTGGGACCTCTTCAAAGCCCAGTTCGATTCTAGGTACCCGAACTCCAATATGGGTTCTACATCGCCATTGTCGTCGACAACGAGATGAAGACGAGTCGGGCCCGCTTGCCTTCGATGAGAAAGGAATATTGCATCGCTCGTGGATCGTAATCGGGTCACAAAATGAGACAGACGACATCGTCCAAGGCTGGTTAATAGCTTCGGGATTTGAAATTGAAGGTGGGTTTCGGGGATTCTTCTTTGAAATCCTCTGTGAACGTTTCTTGCTTGGTAACGACGACAGAGATGGCGAAATGGGAGGTGGGTCGACGACGGTGTGGGGTGGCGGAGGGGAAATGGGTATGGTGGTTTTGAGCAGGTGGAAGTTGAAAGATAGGAGGATCTGGATCTGCTTGCTTGATTCAACATTGAGTAGGTCTAGAATTTGACCCGTGAGCTCAGATTCATGTGGTTCATCTTTTTTCTTTGAACTCTCAAAATTCTATTTAATTTGCTTAAAGATTGTTGGTTTTGCTTTGAAATTGCAGCGATAGGGGATGGATTTTCAGTGTTATATGTAGAGGTAAAGGCAAATGGTGAGGTTGGGTGCTCGAAGATGGGTGATGTCGATGTCGTCGGTGGACTGGGGAACAAGGGTGAGGGAAGAAGGGGGGCACGTGTGGATGATGATGGGTTTGTAGGGGTGGATCCCCCATTTATAAAAAAAAATATTAAATGATTTTTATTTTTTAGTTTTATATTTAATTAATTTTTTAATAGAGAATATGCCCTGTCTCGAGGCACGTCGGCTTTTAACGGAGGAATTGATAGACAAACTGATGGAATGTATGACATTGCAACAAATTTGAAGATAAGGTATGACATTGAAATGTTTTAAAGATGGGGTATGAAACTGTGGTTGACCCAATAGTTAAGGTAGTTCTGTGTAATTTACCCATTTTATTTTTTTCTCACCTTTGGGCTTAATTTCTGTTTAGCTACAAAGAAAATGGTGTTGAGCATGGCGCTGAGCCAGCCGGATCTGTCCATGGCATGCAGGGTGTTCACGATGGAGGCGGAATCGCCGATTCTGGAGCACCAGGTGAGGGGTGCGCACGATAAGGGGTGGGGTGAGGGGTTGCGGGGGAGGTGGGGGTGAGGTGGGATAGGGTGGGTTTTTGGATGGGAGGGGAGGTGAAGAGAGTGAAGGAGATGAAGGTGGGTTGGGGGGGTTCTGGGTTTGTTTGTTTTATTTATTTATTTATTTTATTTTTTTAATAGGGTAAATATTATTATATTTTAAATGCATAAAAAATTATTATTTTTGCCACGTGGCACATATTTGGCAGTCACGTCAACATAAATGTGGATTCCATATTTGCCATATCATCACTTAACGGTTTATTTAACAGATTTTCTAACAGATGTATGAAATTGAAATAAAATGTTCAGTAAATGTATGAAATTGAAATGTTTTAAAGATGTTGTAAGGAATTGAAATCGACCCAAAACTTGAGGGGGTAAAATATAATTTACCCAAAAAATTAGTATTATTATCATTTATTTGTATCATCATTTATAGTATTTTTTTTTAATAAAGATGAGATCAATATGTGTTAGTGGCCTTACCTCAATTAGAAAAATGGTACAAATGATGGTAGCACTACTTGAAAAAATTACAAATTTTATTTTTCCTACATATATATGAAGAGGGTAAGCTTTCTATGTGGACAGGATGC